CACTTGGCCAACTGACTGGAAGAGATCTATATTTGTTCCCATCACAAAGAGAGGTGACCCAACAGAGTGTGGAAACTATAGAACAATCTCATTATTTCACATGTAAGAAAGATTCTACTGAAGATTATTCAAAAACGACTGGAACAGCACATCAGCAGAGAATTGCCACAGGTCCAGGCTGGGTTTAGAAGGGGTCGTGGTACTAGGGATATTATAGCTGATGTTAGATGGATCTTAGCTGACAGCAGTGAATACCAGAGGAATGTATATCTGTATTTCATTGACTACGTAAAGGTGTTTGTCTGTGTGGATCATAACAAACTGTGACTGACTCTGAGAAGAATGGAAATCCTAGAACACTTGATTGTTCTAATGCGAAACCTATACTTGGGCCAGGAGGCAGTCATCAGAACAGAGCAGGGGAACACTGCATGGTTCAAAATTTGGAAGGGCATTCGCCAGGGATGTGTCCTATCTCCATACCTTTTCAACCTGTATGCAGGACAGATCATCCGTGAGGCTGGCCTCTATGAGGAGAAATGTAGGGTCAAGATTGGTGGATGATCTATCAACAATCTGCATTATGCAGATGACACAACCCTGCTTGATGTAACTGAGGAGGACCTGAAATGCTTGCTGCAGAGGGTCAAGGACTGCAGCCTCCAATATGGATTGAGGCTCAATGTCAAGAAGACAAAGATTCTCACCACTGCACCAATTGGCAGCATCAGGATGGATGGTGAAGAGATTGAGATTGTTAACAACTTTAGTCTCCTTGGCTCCATGGTCAACACTCTTGGCACCAGTAGTCAGGAAATTAAAAGACTTATTGTGATGGGAAAGCCTGCTGTTAGGGACCTCTCCAAAGTACTGAAGAGCAGTGGTGTCTTTCTGGAGACTAAGGTGTGCCTGATACAGGCCTTGGTCTTTGCAATCACTTGTTATGCATCAGAGTTGGACAATGACCAAGGAGGACAGAAGGAGAATTGATGCCTTTGAGCTATGGTGCTGGAGAAAAGTATTGAGAGTACCATGGACTGCTGGGAAAACAAACAGATTCATCCTGGAAAGGGTTAAACTGGGTGGCTCTTTGGAGGCAAGGATTCTGAGGCTCTGTCTAACATACTTTGGACAGGTTGTAAGAAGAGACTGGACCTTGGAGAAGGACATCATGCTGGGGAGGGTGGAGGGAAAGCGCCGGAGGGGAAGGCCCTCTATGTGGTGGATTCATTCGGTGACGGGGGTAATGGGATGGGAGTGTCAGAGACAGTGCAATTGGCACAAGACAGAGCAGAGTTTAGGTTGTTGTACATAGGGTTGCTATGAGTTGCAAGCAACTTGATGGCACATAACAACAACAACAGTGCTATGAACTGCTCCTTGAGGACTGCTGTAGCTGAATCCTATGGTTTTGTTGGTATGTTGGTTTTCATTTGTTTCATGGAACTTTATGTCTTTCATTCTTTCTTTTCTAACCCAATCCTGTTTTATCAGACAGTTAATTTAGTTTCCACATGGGTGGTTTGTAAGCTTTACCTCACTGTGTTTTATTTCTAGTTATATGGTATTGTGGTTTAAAAAGATACTTTGTATTATTTTGATGGTTTTTAATTTGTTGAGGCTTACTTTGTGTCCTAATTTGTGACCTTTCTGGAGAATATACCATGTGCACTTGAGAAGAAAGTGAATTAAGTTTTAGTTGGGTGCAGTACCCTAAATACAAGTTCAAGTTGGCTGACTGTATAGTTTATATATTCAGCATCTTTGTTAAATTTCTTTTAAGTTGACCTATACTTTGGTGATAGTGGTGTGCTGAAGTCTCCTACCACTTTTGTAGTGCTGTCTATTTCTTCATTCAATTATGTTACTGTTTTATGTATTTTACAGGTCTATCATTTAATGTATAAGTACTAACCAAGGTTTTGTCTTCTTGAGCTATTGTGTTTTTTATCCTTATCTTTTATGGTGGTTTTCACTGTTAAGTTTATTTTATCAGAGATTAGTATTGCCTCCTAGCTTTTTTGTGGTTGCCATTTGTTTGTTGGGTTTTTTCCCCCCCACCTTTGATTTTGAGACTGCCTTTCTCTTCTTTTTTGAGATATCTCGCTTGTAGGCAACATATTGATGGGTTTTGGTTTTTTATCCATTCTGTTACTATTTTTCTCTTGAATTCTTCCACAATTTTCCTCAGATATTTCCCTGTCACTCCCATGATCTGGACTTCCAATCATATGTATGTTATTCCTTTTTATGTCATCCCACAAAATTCTAATATTTTCTTTACTTTCTTTACATCCCATCTCTGATTTTTCTTCTGGTATATTTCCAGTGAGACAGACTCTTGTCTTCCATCTCACTGACTCTGTTTCATCTCATCAGTTCTACTTTTTTGTTCTACCAGCCTGGTGGACACTTCTGCCAATTTGGTCTTAATATTCAAGATCGCATCTTCAAGCTTTTCTGTTATTTCCAGTACTATGTTGGCTATACTCGCTCTGCCTCATGACGATTTTTTTTTAATTCTTGTACCTCTTTATCTATACAATAAATTCTCTCTTCCACCTTTTGCATTTCTTCCATAGTTGTTCAAGTTGCTCCTCATCAACACATTTCTTCTGAAATGTTATCTCCAGTCTATTTGATCTCTTAATCGCTTCCATTGCTTCTTCCATTACTTGCATCTTCTTCTGTAGCTGTTCAGATTAACTCCACATCAACATATTTCTTCTGGTTCTCTCTTTGTGGAGTATTCATTGGGTCTGCCTTTTTAGTACATGGGTTATTTTGTTTTTTCATGACTGAAGTAGACTGCTGCTTTCTTGACATATGAGTCTTTTCTTAGTACATGTTAGGTTGTTGTAACTAAATAGTGACACAGAGTATGGCAATGTTTTGTGAAGCATCTGCATTCTCATGCTCCCTTCTTGAGATTAAGAACTCCCATGTGGGGTAACTAGACAGCGGAGTTTTACCCAAAGTACCTGAATAAGAGAAGAGGGAAGTTTGCTCCCTTCCAAAAACCACATCTCGGCCCAACTCAATTTGGCCTCACCCCTTCTGCTTGAGCTTCTGGGATCCCACGTGGTGCAGCTAGACAGCAGTCTTTCGTCCAAAGCACCTGTGATATTGGTTCTCCTGGCGCTGGACAGTGGGAGGAGCAAGCAGCTGGGCGGTCTCCGGGCAGCAGGGCAGTGGAGTCTTCAGGGAGCGGGGTCAGCAGTCTAGTGCTCTGGGCAGGAATGTAGCTTGGGCCACACTGAAACTGCAGCCCCTCAACCTGGAAGGCTGTGGTTCTGTCACTGGCCTGGGTGTGAGCAGTGTGCCTTATCTGAGCCTCAGCCTTTAGCAGACACCAGGGAAGCTGTGGCTGGAAGACACTCCTGTGACAGCCATGCCACACAGACCTTGGCCACTTGTCGGAAAGTGATGGTAAGGTCCCCAAAGAGAAGTGTGTGTCCTGTGAGACGTGTGCATCTAGAGAGAAGTCTTAATTTTCACCTATTATTGTGCAAAAAAGTGATACTACAAAAAGATATTTTTGTATGACTTTCCTCATTCTTCATAAAGTTTTTAAAGTTTCTTCTTAATTATAGAATTTCATTTTTCTTTATGGCTGAGCAATATTGTAGAATATGGGGGAAAAAGCTCTGTGTGCCAAGTCTAAAGTCTTGTACAGAGGGCTTAACATTAAGAGATCCAACTGATCCATGACCATACATTGTATGATGAAAGACTGAAATCCAAAGACAAATTCCTTCACAAAATACTGACAATGGAATGGCCTTGACACTCTCTGAAAAGAAAGTAGCTGTAATGATGACATATCTATCCACTAGATGTGACAGCAAATTACTTCTTCCTGATCAAGCCAGATACACTGTCACACAGCAATCCATGATTGCCTTGAAAGTAGCATCCACTCAGGGTCAAAATGCTGCATAGAAACAGAATAGAGCTCTTTTGAAGTAACTATCATTGTGCTGATCCTTTAATCAACTGGTAGATCTTCTGTTAACTGCTAAGTGTCCAAGAAGGGAGTCTGCACAGACCTGCCCATCTGGTCAACTGAGCATTCTAAAAGAAAGTACTTTCTGCTCCTGCTGTTTGCTATTTTTCCCCTTCTGTCTTTGTCAGCACAAACTATGACAGCGATTATATAAATTGAATTAGAGACTTACTTGAGAAAGTTTTCAAGGTCATCTCGACTGCAGGAAGACCAGGAAAGGTCACTGGGATTCCTGCCTTTCACCCACTCTCCCGACATGATGTGGGACTTCCCAGCACAGGAAGAGTGGTCATCATCATGGTTCATCCCCAAGCTGCACAGAGAAGAAGAGAAAGTCACTTAAGCTGCAGTCTTCCCATCTCCAGTTCCTGGAAATCAATCCAAATATAAAATACAAAAGGAAAGGTAAAGTGGCACCTAGTTGTCACAGACTAACAATGATAAGACTGTAGAAAATGACTCATTCTCTGCCATCAAATCTGAATCAACTCCTAGCTGACCTTAGGTATTTAGCTGAAGCTATAAATCACATGGGAGATTTCAAATGTTCCTCCCAAGTTGCTGATGGTGGATTTGAACTACCAGAGTGATACTTCCTTTAAGTAACAGCACAACTCCCTACTAACTAGGCCACCAGAGTCCACTCATAGAAATTATTGTTGTCATTGGTGCTGCTGTTGTTAGATGCTGCCAAGAACACTTAATATCAACTCTATGAACAATAGATCTAAACCCTGTCCTATTCTGTGCCATCCTCATCATCTCCGCCACACCTGAGCCTACTGATGCAGTCACTATGTCAAATTATCTCACTGAAGGTTTTCTTCTCTTTAGCTGATCTTTACCACCATGATGTCTGTCTCCAAGGAAAAGCTTCTCTTAGGAACATGATCAAAGTATATGCGACAAAGCTTTTGTCTCCAAGGACCATTATGACTGCACTTTCTCCAAGACATATGTGGTTTTTGGCAGTTCCTGGGACATTCAGTACTCTTCTCTAATACCACAGTTCAAAGGCATCAATTATTTGTCTGTCATCCTTTACTCAATATTTAGTTGTCAGATGTATAGCAAGTGATGGAAAAAGACTATAGCCTGAATCTTGGTCTTAAAACTGAAATAATTGTCACTCAGTAATTTTGAGAAAGCCCTGATAGAATACTTGCCCAGTGAAATGTATCTTTCAATCTCTTTATTGCTGATACAAAAAATGTTTCTTATGTATCCAAGTAAGATGAAACCATTGACAATTTCTATCTCTTTTCTATATGTAATGTAGCCAATAGGTCCAGTGGTGAGAATTATTGTCTTCTTGATGTTGAGATGCCATCCATAATGAGGGCTGTAGTCTTTGATCTTTAGCAGCAAGGGTTTAAAGTCTTCTTCTCACTTTCAGAAAGCAAGGTTGTGTCATCTGCATAACACAGGTTGTTGAGGAGTCTTCCTCCAATCCTGATACCACATTCTTCTTCATTGAGTCCAGTTTCCTGAATGATTTGCTCAATATACAGCTTTTAGAATTATGCAGAAAGATACAATCCTGAATCACATCTTTCCTTAGTGTAAACCACTCAGTGCTCCCTTGCTTTGTTCAAACAACAGCTTTTTGGTCTATGCATGTGTTTCCTAAGAGCATCACTAATTGCTGCTGTCATGTATGTTAATTGTGTATCCAAATAAAATAAAATAGTTGGCAACTATAATATGTATATAATATGAATCTAGGAAAATTATAAGTTGTTAAAACTGAAGTAAAATACATAAAGACTGACATCATAGACATTAATGAGCTGAGAAAGACTGGTATTAACCATTTTGAATCAGATTACTACTGAATGATAAATTAAAGAGGAATGGTGTGGCATAAAAAAAAAGCATTTTAAGTAGAATGCTGTGACAGAATGTTACCCTTACACATACAAGGAAATATTGTTAATACATCTATTACTCAAACTATATACACCAAACACTAGATAGAAAAGAGGTCAAGTAAGCATAAAAGTGTCCAGCCTTTGTCAGTCATTCCAGTTGAAAAATACAAAGGATTTTATTTACTTCAACTTACTTACTGGATCAATTAAAATAAATTAAAGCCACAAAAGATATTTAATAAATGTTTGTTAGGAATGAGGCAATGAGTCAAGGGGAGAGGATAACGGTGAACAAAACACCATCCCTCAAACACTGGCCAGCCTTTAGGAGTGGATTTTATCTTTAAAAAACAAAACAAACAGGATAAAACCAAAAAAACCAACCAAATCCAAAAAACCATGATTAGTCCTTTTTTTTGCTTTAAAGATAGCTGGGGTTTTTTTTTACCATTTTTTAAATGAAAATTTACAGAGACTTTGGATTTCCATTAATTCATTATTGTACTTTTATCCCTGCCCACACATCCCCCACAGTACACTCTTCTCTTTGAAAAGTAAAATAAAAAGTTCCGGCATTGTTTTACAATCCCTCTCCCCAGGTCCACTCCACTATGCAGCCTTCATTCTGGATCCCTGTCATGACAATAATACCTAATCACATACCCTTTTAAAACAATTTTCTCTCTTATCTGTTTCAATGCAATATACATTATTCATCCCATCTTTCTCAGTCCCCCCAACTTCGATGTCAGTCCTGTTTTGCAATAGTGGCACTATGCAGTATTTGTCGCTTTGTGACTGAGATAGTTCACTCAGCATAATGTCCTCCAGGGTCACCCATTTTAAATAATATTGCATGAGTTTCTTGTTTTTCAATGCAGCGCAGTATGCCATAGTGTGACTATACCAGAGTTTCTCTACCCATTCATTTGTTGATGGGCACTTAGCTTGTTTCCAACTCCTTGTTACCATGAACAAAGCTATGATAAACATGGGTGTGCATATATCTGCTTAGGTGGCAGTTATGGTCTCTTTAGGGTATATTCCCAGTAGTGGGATTGCTGGATAAAATGGTATCTCTATTTACAACTTTTTGAGAAGGCGCCATACACCCTTCCACAATGGCTGCACTATTTTACACTTCCACAAACAGTGAATAAGGGTTCCAGCGTCTCTGCAACCTCGCCAGCATTTGCTCCTTATTGTTCTGTTAAATGTAGCTATTCTTACTAGGGTGAGATGATATCTCATAGTTGTTTTGATTTGAATCTCTCGTAGAGCTAGAGATTTTGAACATTTCTTCATGTGCTTGTTGGCCATCTGAATATTTACTATGGTGAAGAGTCTGTTCATATCCTGTGCCCATTTTTCAACTGGGTTATTTACCTTCATCTTGTTGTGGTGCTCGAGTATTCTATAAATTCTAGATATATATCTCTTATCTGACATGTCATTACCAAATACTTTTACCCAGTCTGTGGATTCCTTTTTTACCCTGTTGGAGAAGTTTTTGGATGTGCATAGGGATTTGATTCTTAGAAAACCCCATTCATCTATTGTAACTTCTTCTGGTTGTAGATTTTTCAGGATGCTTGGAAGACTGTTTATGTTGTGGATTAGGACTACTTGAATTCTTCCAAGCTTTTCATTAGTTAAGTTTATAGTCTTTGGTTTAAGTCCTAGGTCCATGATCCACCTAAACTTGGTTTTTGTGTATGAAGTGAGGTGTGGATCTTGCTTGAGTCATCTGCAGATATTTTTCCAATTTTGCCAGCACCATTTGTTTAAAATGCTGTCATTTCCCCACTTAACTGATTTAATTTCCTTGTCAAAAATCAGTTGAGCATATGCAGATGGCTGATTTCTGGGTTCTCAATTCTATTCCATTGATCTATGTGTCTGTCATTGTAATAGTACCATGCTGTCTTAACTACCACGACAGTGTAGTAGGATTTGAAATCAGGGAGTGAGATGCCTCCTACCTTTTTTCTATTTTTAACAAGTGCTTTGCTTATATGGGGCTTCTTTCCATACCAAATGAAACTGCAGCTTACCTTTTCCATCTAATTGAAGAATGGGATTGGTATTTTTATTGGGATTACATTGAATGTGTAAATTGCCTTTGGTAGTATTGCCATTTTCACAACATTGAGCCTTCCTATCCATGAGCAAGGGATATACTTCCACTTCTCCAGGTCTCTTTTTGTTTCTTGTAGTAATGTTTTGTAATATTCTTGGAATATATCCTTTGTGCTTCTAGTTATATTTACTACCAAATATTTTATCTTGTGATTAGCTATTGTGAGGAGTATTGTTTTTCTTAGCTCCAGCTCTGTGTTCTCTTTGTCACTGTAGAGAAATCCAGCTGATTTTCGTATGTTAATCTTGTATCCTGCTACTTTGCTAAATTGGTCAACTACGTCCAATAGTTTTCTTGCTGAGTCTTTAGGGTTTTCTAGGTATACTATCATATCATCTGCATAGAGAGATAATTTTACCAAAGAGAATATTTTTACACAGTTTCATTTATGAATATGCTTAAAATCAGACCAAAAATGTGTTTTTTAAAAATCTATCATTATTAAGTTGAGTATATTTCAGTAAATTAAGATTGGCTTAGGACTAGACAGTCTACTGATGTAACTTCCCACATTTTTAAATTCAAATAGGATAACCATGGGGGTTCACTCCCCAGACGCAGACAAAGTAATTAGTAAAATACAATACTTAAGAAAAAAACATTTTATTTTGGGGAAATATAATTAATAAAGCATTTCACCCATTTATACATGTATACTCCAATAGCATATTAATCACATGCGTGCAGCAGTCACCACCACCTATTCCAGGTGGTTTTCAAGCTGCTTTGAGGGAAATAGCAAAAAATAAGGCCCCAGGAATAGATGGTATACCAACTGAAGTATTTCAGATAACAGATGTTGCCCTGGATGTGCTCACCAAGTT